ACTAAATATTAGGTTGGTCACGATAATCTTATGGCTGATCAGTATAGACTGCTTCTATCACTCAATTCTTCACTTGTTCAGGTCTTTATTTTCAATGACAGCGGTAACCTTGGCAGCAGTTACCCCTTTGCCGTTTGTCACTTTTGTATAAACCTACATAACTTTAAATATTTCTTCTTTTAACAGTTTGTACTCCAAAATTCTATACAGAAATAAGAGGACTGCATTGGTCACTTTATATGGCAAACCATTTCTCTCTCTCTGTTCATTTAGTCATTACACAAGACAGTGGATATGGGAAAAAACAAATTAAGGCATTTTACATTTTGTTTTATTTATCAATGCAGTGGAAAAAGGATATTATCATGATCATAAACCCTTATAGTATTGCCTACCCAGTCACTGGTCTAAATACAGTGGGGCAAAAAAGTATTTAGTCAGCCACCAATTGTGCAAGTTCTCCCACTTAAAAAGATGAGAGAGGCCTGTAATTGGCATCATAGGTAGATCTCAACTATGAGAGACAAAATGAGAAAAAAAATCCAGACAATCACATTGGCTGATTTGGAAAGAATTTATTTGCAAATTATGGTGGAAAATAAGTATTTGGTCACCTACAAACAAGGAAGATTTCTGGCTCACACAGACCTATACCTTCTTCTTTAAGAGGCTCCTCTGTCCTGCACTCATTACCTGTATCAATGACACCTGTTTGAACTTGTTATCAGTATAAAAGACACCTGTCCACAACCTCAAACAGTCACACTCCAAACTCCACTATGGTGAAGACCGAAGAGCTGTCGAAGGACACCAGAAACAAAATTGTAGACCTGCACCAGGCTGGGAAGACTGAATCTGCAATAGGCAAGCACCTTGGTGTGAACAAATTACTGTGGGAGCAATAATTAGAAAATGGAAGACATACAAGACCACTGATAATCTCCCTCGATCTGGGGCTCCACGCAAAATGATCACAAGAACGGTGAGCAAAAATCCCAGGACCACACGGGGAGACCTAGTGAATGACCTGCAGAGAGCTGGGACCAACGTAACAAAGGCTACCATCAGTAACACACTACGCCGCCAGGGACTCAGATCCTGCAGTGCCAGACGTGTCCCCCTGCTTAAGCCAGTACATGTCCGGGCCCGTCTGAAGTTTGCTAGAGAGCATTTGGATGATCCAGAAGAGGATTGGGAGAATGTCATATGGTCAGATGAAACCAAAATAGAACTGTTTGGTAGAAACACAACTCGTCGTGTTTGGAGGAGAGAATGCTGAGTTGCATCCAAAGAACACCATACCTACTGTGCAGCATGGGGGTGGCAGCATCATGCTTTGGGGCTGTTTCTCCGCAAAGGGACCAGGACGACTGAACCATGTACAGGTCAGAATGAATGGGGCCATGTATCGTGAGATTTTGAGTGGAAACCTCCTTCCATCAGCAAGGGCATTGAAGATGAAACGTGGCTGGGTCTTCCAACATGACAATGATCCCAAACATACCGCCCGGGCAATGAAGGAGTGGCTTCGCAAGAAGCATTTCAAGGTCCTGGAGTGGCCTAGCCAGTCTCCAGATCTCAACCCCATAGAAAACCTTTGGAGGGAGTTGAAAGTCCTTGTTGCCCAGCGACAGCCCCAAAACATCACTGCTCTAGAGGAGATCTGCATGGAGGAATGGGCCAACATACCTGGGCCACTGTGTTCATCTAGTGATCTTGCCAGTAACACTCCCCCTGTGCTATAGTTTCTACACTCTGGATGAAGGGGCAACAGAGATACCTTTGGACAGCAACACTGATAATCTGAAAGGAGTGTTAGATGTATTAGCAGATTTAAATACACTGACAAAATGAAGTCAAACTCCAGCTAACACTTTGTAAGCAGTTACAACAGGTTTTTTTTTCTTTTTGGGATAAAGGTTTTACATAAATAAATAAAAGCTGACCATCGTAAGCGTCCCTGTCGGTGTTAAATGGTTTGCCTCAACTTTCTAACTGCTATATCTGCAGAATCGCTTGTTCTGTTCAAAAACAGACTTACTAGTAGGATCACGAAATGAAAATAAAAGAAAGAAGGCCTAAAAAATGAATGCAGCCATCATACAGTATCTAAGAATTGGTTAGTAGCAATATGATAAATGTTTGCTTTTGAGTTATGGTTGCTTATGGCTATGGTTTTTACAATGCTACATTTTTAGTAAATGTACAGTAATCTGCCCTTGACACTGCTGCTGTCTCTGAGTGTAATCATTGAATTAGGTGTACTCACTTGTTGTCCAACAGATTTTGAGATAGGTGTATTTACTGGCTCCCAACAGAATTTGAGATGGGGTGTACTCATTGGATATCCAAGACAGTGTGATTTAGGTGTACTGTACTCATTGGCTCTCCAATGGAGTGTGAGATAGGTGTTATTACTGGCTCTCCAACACAATGTCAGATAGGTGTACTTACTGGCTCTCCAACAGAATGTAAGATAGGTGTACTCACCAACTCTCCAGCAGAATGTGAGATAGGTGTACTCATTGGCTTTCCAACAGAATGTGAGATAGGTGTACTTACTGGCTCTCCAACAGAATGTAAGATAGGTGGACTCATTGGCTCTCCAACAAAATGTAGGATAGGTGTACTCACTGGCTCTCCAACAGAATGTAAGATAGATGTACTCACTGGCTTTCTGACAGAATGTGAGATGGGGCAAAGTATGCTCTGTACAGGGAGTAGACAGTACATAAATCCTTCCTGGAAGGGGGAGGGTGAAAGGTTTTGTAGTGCTCAACCCCTTATGGACCGCTGAATTTGATGGGTCCTCCTAAGCTGTGCACAGCCAGGCAACACGCATCTTCACACACAGAGTCAGTGAAACAGTCTTGAGCTTGGTTTTGTTGTTTTTATTAGGGTTTAGCAATTTGGTTGAGGTCTAGGGGTATATGAGATGCCCAAGGAACTGTAAACCCAGAGGACAACTCAGCAAACACTGTACACTATACAAAAATGTGGACCAAAAAGTAGCAACTGTCTCTGTAAGGAGCACTGATGTCCCCTTTGGTGTACCTCCTCAAACACCATATTAAATCCTTCCTCCTTCACCTGGCTGTCCTGAGAGTATCCCTGGGTAAGGAATTCCAAAATTTGCAATTAAGTAGTCCTTGATGAGAACTAGTTGGGTATTGCACCTGACCGGCCTCTTTCCTTCTCTGGCCCAGGGGATGTAGAAGTACTTACACTGTCCTGTCCTGTTAGCTTGATGGGTTGCAGCTGCTTTCAGGCATTATGTTGGGCTGGCTCCTTCCCTGCTGACAGGATGTCCTCCCTAGGAGATGGTGGTACCGTGGTGATCCTTTCATCCAGCACCAGCCTGTAAATAGGCCCCCTCCCAGGCACCACACTCCAGCACCTTCTCTCAGTCTATCTTCCTATGTCCCTGCTGCACAAGCTCTGCCACATTTAAGGGTTGCTCTTAGCCGACATGCTAAGCCTCCTGCTTGGGGATTGTCCAAGTTTCCCTAAACATGCAAATCCAGGCTTCCTCCCCTGCTCCACCCCTCTTCTAGAAAGTTCCTCCAGTTTCTAGAAGGGTGGGAGGGCTCCAGAAGCCCTGACCTGTAAAGCTTCCCAGTCTGTACTAAGGTGACCTCTCTACCTCACTCCAAGGCCGACTCATCCCAGGCTTCTAACAAGCCTCTGACTCACAAAAATTATATCTATCTAAACCTAGAGGGCGCTACAGTTACAAACACACAACTCCAAGCATGCTTGTAAATTAGGTCAGTAACAGCACAAAGCTGCAGGAGACAACTCAAGGCCATTTGCGCTGGAAGCTCACCACTAGCAACTTCACCTTCACAGCTAGGGTTTGACAAGGAGCTCTACAAAGACTTCAAAAGATTAATTCACCCAACTCAACCTCCCCTTTTTAATTTTATTTGATTTTATAACTCACCCTTTCTTTTGCCTATGCAGGGCAATGGAAAAGGGTCACTTAACTTCTTCCTTCCTCGGCAGCATTTACAGTACTCACCTTTCCTCATTGCCACTCCACTCCGTTCCACCAAGAGCAGCAAAATAAAATATTCAACACTTTTGGGTATAGGTGAGCACACCTTGTAAAGTTTTTTTGGGCCAGCAGTGGGGCTCTACATGTACTTGTAAATGTATGCAACAAAAACTTCTGTTTTTATTTTAAATTTTGGAATCATTTTAGTTTGGTTTTGTGTTCATTAGCTAGATCAAGTGTGGAGAGAATTTTGTAACGCATGCATACAAACATAAAATTTTGGTTTACAAATAAATATTTAATGCCAGGTACACAAATGACAATTGATTCATAAGGCCCCATGTGTTTTTTAAAGAAACAGTACAATAGAAGCTAATTTCTAGCAGTCACTCTGTCTGCAATTGAAACTTTGCCTGAAGCACTCTAAAAGAGAGAATGGAAAGTAGTAACTGCTGTGACTCATTAACTACCATCTGTAAATTTCAACTTCAGCAACTGAGCTCTGTTAACAGGCTTTTTTTCAGATAAGGATAGAAATAAAATATGCAAAGTCTACTATTTGATTGAAAACCAGGAACACAAAAAAAAATTGCATACACAACATTATCAGGATAATATTAAGATAAGATCGCCATCAGTCAAGAAGTTATGGCAGGTGGGCCACAAACTTGGTTCTGCACTTGCACTGGTACTATATTTACTATGGATATGGAATGTGCAGCTGATATATCTCTGATAAGCTGGAACCTCATTATTACTAAAAATGTGTGTGTACATCTAGAGTATTTGGTGATAATCCTCTTTCATGCTTCCCAACTAATAAGTTAGTTTGAACATTTGTGGTTCAATAGTACATTGTGAATCCTCCATATTTCATGTTTTATGCCAAACTGACATAACCTAAAATGTATTTTCACATTTAGATCTAATCAGACTTGAAATTGAGTGATTAGAGAAATAAATGAGAGAACAAACTACTCATGCTGCCTGTGTCCTCCCACAGGATGATGTCCTTGGTGCCTGCTACAGAGGATGCAGACTATTCTCCATCTGTCACTTTGTGGATGTCATTGCTGATCTTAACACAACAAGAGCTGAATGCGAGTCAGGTAATCATAGACAGAATAAAATAATACATTCTGTTTTTAATGGGTAGATCAAGTTATACTTGCAAAGCAGTTTATGGTTTAGCATGTAAAATGCTCTACATCAGCCTTTTTATTTTGGGTAATGTTAAAGGGTTCTGCATGCTGTTTTTGTTAATTAATATAGCAATACAATACATAGCTTCTATATGGATGTAGCACTATCCCCTTGGGGGTTGCTGTTGATTTGGGTCCCCCTATAGTCCTGCACAGACAGGCATTCTGCATTCTCCACACAAGCTTGCATTCAAAGTCAGAAATCAGTTTTTGTGCTTTTGTTTTGTTGTTTATTGAGGGGATTTACAACTGGGATAGGGTAAGGGGGAGGGGGGGGGGGGGTATTGGATGTCTAGCCAGCATCTCCTTCAAGTACCACCCAAGACCCTAGAAGAAATTCTCCTCTTCACCCAGCAATCTGGAGAGTATCCTGAGCAGAGGATCCGGTTCTTATCCCTTTAAATGGGGTGAACAGTCACTAGTAGGGGGCTAATCTGGTTTCCCACCAGAGTGCTCCTTCCCCTATCCGCCCAGGGGGGTGCAGGTGTTCTCACACAGATCCTCTCCTGTACCACTTCCGGGTTGGTTGCAGCTACCAGGCCTATCAGCTGGGCTGCTCCTTCCCTGCCATACAGGTGGTTCTCACTCAGGGGACCAATGAGTTCCGAGCTTTCCTCCTTTCCAGCTGCAGGCTCGCAGGCAGGCCCCATCCCACTAGGCCTCCTGGAAGCCTTCCTCCCCCCACATCTTCCTCCAACTCTCTACAACTCTCCCACTACCACACTCCTGCTACTGAGCAAGCTCTAACACTTTTAAGGGAGTCCCAGCCCCTTGCCAAGCCTTCTGTTGGGGAATGGCTGAGGTCAGAGTGCAGCCAGTCACTCCTCAGATCCACCTGCTGCTTCCAATGCCCTCCTCTGAAAGCCTCAGAACAGGGTAAAATTCCAGAGAGGATGACCTGCAGAGCCTCTCAGCCCTGACCACAATTTGACCCCTCTGGTTATTACACCTGCATTGCTAACTAGCTTCTGTCTAACCATTAGGTTCTAGCTCCCCCTAGCTCAACTAGGAGGTGCTACATGGTTATAAATGCTTGGAAGCTCAGTAGTGGACAATCTGCTTCAAATTCAACTTGTGACACCCTAAAATATGCTTCCTGAAACAAGAAAACCAGCAAGGATGACCAGCAATGCCAAATATATAATTTTTAGTGATCATTCACATGTAGAGATATATCATATATACCATAAAATTATATATGTATACCTCCTTACATGCTATTCAAAATGCCCATGACAACATGGTAGCCAGCATTATTACACATGTTGAACAATGTATAATTGTAATCTCTCTTCAGGTTAGTGAGGTAAGGAACAATTGGAAAAGCCACCAGTAATAACCAGGAATGCAGTCAGTTGAGCAACCTGTGCATCAAAGAGGCCTGTTTGAATAATTAGATACAAATTTTCATAATTGAGCTTTGGGTTCGAGTTGAAACAGTGTTTGACCAGAACCCAAGTCATACTTGGTTTGGAGAAATGGTGAACTAAGGAACTTCCTCTCTGAACTCTGGTCGGGTTGGCTTAGGTGGATCAATAAAAGGGTTTTCTTTTTTGACCGCCCCCTACCTATAAAGGTCAGGGTTCCCAGCAGCTTTTTGTTACTGTGTTTGGGAGGAGACTTGGAGTAGTTCATGACAGATCAGAGTGGTTGCAGGAAGAACTAGTTGCTGCTGCTGATTGCAGAAAACATCTATATTAACATTGAGCCACATACAAACTCACTGTATGTTGGACAGATCTGGAGCAGATTGGGATAGATCAGAGTGTTTTCAGGGATAGAGAATTGCTGCTGTTGATTGCTGAAAACTGCTATATCTACAGTAAGTTAGAAAACACATTCACTGTGTGTTGGCCTGACCTGGAGCAGATAAGGATAGATAATGGCGTGTGTGCAGTGAGAGGTAGTTGCTGATGATGATTGCTAAAAACTGCTATGTTTATAGTGAGCCACACACACTCACTGTGTCCTGGACATTTCTGGGGCTGATAGGAAAGACCACAAGGTGTTTGTAATGACATCCTATACAGTACTGCTTTAAAGTCCTGTATTTACAGTCAGTGTGTGCTGGGGACACATGTAGTAGATAGGGAGAGATCACACAGTGTTTGCAAGAAAAGATACCCTTTTGTGTGCAGCATTAGCAGTTTTAGTTGTTTTGCTGCGGTCCCCCCCAGCTTTTTTTCCTGTTAATGTTTTTATTTTTTTTCTATCGATTCATATTTATTTTGCACTTTCAGTAATGTTTAATATTTTGTGAAAAAGCTTAAATACATGGAGTCACTATAATATTTTAATGTCTTTTTCAGTGAAATAAATACTCTAATGTTGCTTTTTTATTAAAAACTGGCTGGTGTCTGTCCTGTTCAAAATTCAGCCTAGCACAAGTGCTTACATACTGTGCATAGAGTCACTACAGTATTTTTATGTGTTTTTTTTTCTTTTGTTTTTTTTTGCTGAAATACACTCACCAGCCACTTTATTAGGTACACCTTGCTAATACTGGGACCCCCTTTTGCCTTCAGAACTGCCTTAATTCTTTGTGGTATAGATTCAATAAGGTGTTGGAAACATTCCTCAGAGATTTCGGCTAAAGGCACAGAGATCCTTGGAGACAATATAGCTGAGAAATGTTCTTGCTGCTCAAAAAGTAATTTCTGCCGTAGTCCAGGTTTCCTGTAGGTGCTGCAAAACCATTGGCATGTGCTGACCATATTTGTGGAGGCTGGAAGAGTAGACAAGAACATATTGATGAATCACCACCGCACACATAAACAGGTTTTGGAAGATGGTGAGAGTATTACACAACCCAAAGGGCATCACAAGATATTCATAATGCCCATTCCCAATGTTGAAAGTGGTCTTCCATTCATCTCCCTCCTTTATTCAGACAAGATTGTAAGCTTCCATTAGGTCGAGTTTGGAGAAGTTCTGGGTTCCATGTAGATGATCAAATAGTTAGGTGATGAGGCACAGGTACTGTTATATTTAATGTATTCCTATTGTATGTTTCTTTCTATTTTGTTTCCAATTTCAGCTCACCTTTTTCATTTCAATCAAGTCTCAGAAATTGTTCACATAGTCAGGTTTATTGGAAGGATTGGATTGTTTATCTGCATTTCAAGTTGCACACAGGGCAACACATGGTGAGGACAAAACAATCTTACTTCTCAACAAAGAAAAGGTTGGCTCCAGCTGGCAAGGTATATTTTGGGATGAAAATTCTTTTTCAAAATTTCACATTTGAACATGGCCTGCCACTTGGGAACTGAGAATGTGTAGATTCTTCCACAAAGTGAAGTGGTCCCAGTGATCAAATGCAGTCATTGGAGAGGCCCTGGATGCTGTGATAATTTTTTTCCTTGGAGAACAGCCAAGCTTGCCCTCGTTACATGAGTTCAACAGACAGGGATTCCTAGCAGAAAACATCTGCTTTTAAAGATACAGCTGGAATAGAAACAGAGTAGAAACACTACTGGTGGCTACACTTCTAGGCGTGTTCCTAGAACCAATTGTAGTTTTCTGCCTGCCAACTCATAATACAATTGAATAGTTTTTGCCAAAGGATGGCTGCTAGGGCTTTGTTTTTCCAGGATCCAAAACTGTATTGCATACTGGCCCACTGTCATTGTCATGGTCTGGAGTCAGACTTGGAAGGCAGTGGCTGTAGCAGTTGAGAGATGCACGAGCAGTCAGCTGGATGAATACAGACACGGATCTGCTTAAAGCATGATGCAGGCTCACCTAAGCACTAGCCGGTTTTCACTAGAGCTCCTAATGGTGAAATGGGTTTTGCCTCATGCTAGCAAGTGGGGGCCTGGTAGTGGATGAAGCAGATAAGGAACTAGCAGAAACGTAGTTGAGTAACTAGCAAAACAACGGTAATGAGCAGTAGTTGATCAAATGGAAGCATAGTCAATGAACAAGCCAAAGGTTGATAAAGAGTGAAACAAAGATAAGGACAGCTACAGGTACATAAAATAGCAAGATATCAGCTGGAGAGAGCACCACGATCTGGCAAACAGGAATTAGAGAGACTTGGCTTAAATAAGGAAATTCATGGGAGAAGCAGAGTTCAAGGTTCACCAGAAACAAGATACAAGCCAAGGTTGCTCAAGGGATCAGAGAGGGAGTCTTCCAACATCTTAGGTACCACAGTAAGAAGAGCCACAGCAAGACACCACAGAGGTCCCAATTTCAGATCTGGACTTTGACAGTTATGCTTCCTGTAGTAGATGCATAGACAAGCACTAGCAGTGGAAGAGGCATGTCCAGGTTTAAGGAATGTGAGGTGAAAGGCAACTTGGAAACCTGAGTATTTATAAGCCAGGTAATGGTCCTTTTTCCAGAAGAGAAAGGCCCAGGCAAGGACATTACTGGGAGATCACAGAGGCCACTTTAGAACAATGTGTAAAAAGGAAATCAAGGCCGCGAAAATTGAAAACGAACGACAGATTGCAAAAGACAGCAGGACAAACCCCCAAAAATTAATCAAATATATTAATAGTAAAAAGGTCAGGACCGAGCATGTAGGCCCTTTTCAAAATAATCTAGAGTGGGTGACTGGGGACAAAGAGAAGGCAAATATTTATAATAACCTATAAATATTTATAATATGTATAATATTTATATTTATAAACGATATAGGGTCTGGGATTAAAAATACAGTTTCAGTCTTTTCAGATGACACCAAACTTTGCAGTGGAATAATGTCCTTACAGGATGTCTCCAATTTACACGGCAACCTAATTGGGCAACTACATAACAAGTCTACACAACCCTGTTAAAATGTCAGGTTTCTGTGATGTAAAAAAATTAGACAAAAATAAATAATTTCAGAACTTTTTCCACCTTTAATGTGACCTCTAAACTGTACAACTCAATTGAAAAACAAATTGAAATCTTTT